ACAACAGATCTGCAGCAGGGCATAATTTGTTAAGCCAGTTCCATGCAGTGGTTAAGGTGCTGATCTGAAAACCTGGAAACTGTGAATTCTGAGCTGGGTGACTTTGGACCAGTCACTCTCTCTCAGCCCAAATAACCTTACAGGGTTGCTGTTATGAAAAAAGTAGGATGCAGAAGTATTAGCTGCATTCACCACCTTGAGTTGACCACATATTTTAAAAAAGATGGAATTAAAAACATAATAATAATGCATACGTATGTTATCATTTAAACACAGAGTGTTAAAGGTATAACTGTTCAGATAGCCTAGTCCTTGAAACAACAACTGGGACTGGAATTTCCATTGCTAAGCAATATGCTTGCAAAGCGTGACCACATCACTTAGTAACAGTAATCCATGCAGTCATAGTTGCTGTTGTTAATTGAATCCCATGGCCGTTAGGCAAGGAAACTTCCTGCTGACTTCCTACAACCAAAATCACTAGGGAAACTGGCAGGAAGTTATAAATTCCAGGCCTGCAGGCAAATATATGGGGGCATGGGGGTGTGGGAGAAAAGTCAGTGAGGGTGTGCAAGGGAGTAAAGAAAGGTCTAAGAGTGTGTAAAAGAGGCACCACGTAAATCACAGAGGGTTTACAAAAGTGCTGCATGAATCAGGGAAATAGACATCATGGCACAAATGCTGAGGGGCGTCGGGAGGTTACACAGGTGGGGAAGGCTTGCCCCTATGACGTGTAATGTCCTTTCCTGCTTCCCAACTAACTTTCTGGAGAAGCTGGTAGGGTAGGTTGCAAATGGCCATGATGTGATTCCTCGACACTTGACAACAGGTTTTAAGGGCAAACGGGTGGACAAGCACTCAGATTGTGATCACGTGACCACAGGAGTATTTTGAAAGCTGGAACTCAAAGGACCCTTTATAACTTGTAACTTTCAACAATCACTGACCAAATGGTCAGAGGTGAAGAACTACCTGTATTTCACACATACAGTACATAAATAACTTTGGAAGGGTAAATTTAACATGTACAACTTCTCTGGGCTAATTTTTTTTTTCAATCACTTTATTTAACTTCTACATTTTATCAGTGATACCATTGTGGGTAAAGACACTTTTGATTCAGCAGAAGATACATTTAGATTTTAGAAATTTAGGTCAGACTTAGTCTATTTCAGGGGTCTCCAAACTTGGCCCTTTTATAACTTCTGGACTTCAACTCCCAGAATTCCTCAGCCAAACACGCTTGTGGTCATAAAAGGTCCAAGTTTGAAGACCCCTGGTCTATTTGAATGAGTCCTTTTCCCAACACAATCCCAGCAACAATATGAAGGGGTATTATGGTTGGAATGAATACCTACAGAGATTGTATTATATCTATGTTTGTTGTACTACAATCTGACAAATATTCAAAAGCATGATGTGATGAACACATGGCACAGAATTTCAGTCCCTTCTTCTCTTTTATTTTTCATATCTTGTCCATAATTCTCAATTAATATAGGAGGCCCTAATGCTAAAAGACCCAAAAGTAGGATTAAAAATAAAAAGACACATTCTTTTTTACACAATAATTTTATTCAAGATTATATAGAAAAAATGTACAAACTATAAAAAATAAAATGAAAAATGAAAAATAAAAATAAAAAATGCAGAAGAAAAGAAAAAGAAAGAAGTTACCTTCCCCTTCATCACCAGCAACTATAATTAACATTAACAACTCATCAGTCTCTTAAAATAAAACAAGCCGTCTCTTCATTCCAAATACCACCCATTCTCCTCAAATAGATCATTAAAGTATCACTCCATCTTGATCAGCAGAAGTTCATTAAGGGTTATCAGAAACAACAACATAACTATTACACTCTATATCAGTGGTTCTCAACCTGTGGGTCGGGACCCCATTTGGGGTTGAACGACCATTTCACGGGGGTCGCCAAACAATGCAGTCTGCCATTTTTTTCCCCTTTTCCTTAGCTGTGCTACTCCCTTTTACTCTATTGGCTTTTGAAAGCCAATAGAATAGACTCTGTTGAATAGAGTCTAATTCTATTGGCTTTCAAAAGCCAATAGGAATTGTCCAGGCTGTCTCTGCCCTACTGAGCCCGCGAAAAGTCCCATTCTGCAAACAGTGCTGCACCAGTTGAGTAGTCCTCGACTTACGACTGGTTGAGTAGTCCTCGACTTACGACCGGTTGGGGGTCACAGCATTAAAAAGGTTGGGAACCACTGCTCTATATCTAATAAACCCACTTTAAATCCTTTCTTTGCATTTATAAAACACATATACTTAAAATGCAACATTGTCTCTTTATCTCTTAAAGATAATCAATACCTTTAAAACATAATCATCCAGAGCTAGTGAACAAAAAAACCCATTAAACCTTAATGGAAATAACAGTCCATCAATTTTAACCTTGATCTAATAAATTAACTTTGTATTCTTTCCTTTTTCTTCTGACATTTTTAATACCCCACTTTGTTTCTTCTCTCAAAGTCATTGACAACTTTAGCAAGATCCTTTTGAATATCCACCATAACGAAAATATTCAAGTCACTTGTCATATTCTCATTGTCTCTTCTCACAAAATCATGAGCAACTTTAACAAACCCCTTGATAAAATCCATATAAAAAGGTTCTCCACATTACTCTTCTGATTTAGTATCTATGTCTTTGTTAGAATATCAGCTGGTTTTGTTTGTGTATCCAATATTTCCTCTTTCTGTTTTAAATTCACATTGAAATCAATTTCAGCTTATCTAATGAAGCTTGTTCCTCTTCTATGACACCATCCAATATATCTGTAATAGCAGATGTCTTTAAAATTATTTTCTGAATCCAATAATTGTTCTTTTTCATTGGATCCACAGATGTATTTGTTTCTTTCTGGTGCCTTCTAGTTATCTTATTAAATTATTTTTGTTCCCAAATGTAAACATGGGAGGATTTAATTAATTTTCAAGTCTTAATTCAACTCGATCTGAGCCCTTAGTCCATTTTAAGATTTCTAAAATCAACATTCCAATCACCATTTTGCAGAATATTCCATTTTTTTTCCTTTTTCAAAACCTTAAACTAGTAATTAAGTAATTAAAAACTTTTTCTTAAAGGATTAAAGGCTTACACAGTGAATACAGTAAAACTTGTAATTCTGAAATTTCTCAATCTTTATAGAACAGTAAAAAAAAATTAAATACAAAGTAATTGTGAGATTTGATTGAATTTAAAGTCCATTGTAGGCTATATTGAAGGCTATAAGCTTGATGGAATTCTATGAATCTCAGCTGTTTGAGAGCTGACCACAAAAAACTCATTTCCTATTTACTAAAAAAAAAAAAAAAACCAACCAGCTGTTTAAAGTACATATGGGTGATTTCTAGATCTCTCCTTTCTCCAGAGAGGCTTCAGCAGTCCAGATCCTACATCCAACTGCTGTTTTCAACTGTAATGTCTGCTGCTCTTCATGGAACATCAGTTCATTATTTCTCACCAGAAGTGACTTTCCATTGTACATTCTGAGCTTATTCATGAGGAAAAAATGTATGTGTGCTCTTAGAGTAGCAACGTTTATAATTTATAAAAATTCAGATTTTAGCTCTTTTTTCCTTTATACCACAAATATATTTCTTCAAAACAGCAACACAGAAATATCATTGTAAGGTAAATGTTGCAGTCCAAAGAACACTTCAAGGAAATAAATATTTTTTTTTATTTTCAAGTAAACATATTTAGATTCCTGATATAAATATAAAACATAAATCTAGCGATACAACTCTTAAATAGAGCGTAAATGTTTTGGTTTTAATTATTTAACTCCATAGTTGTGGAAGTTTAAATCCTTATAATAGTTAAAGCTTGACAGGAAAGAAAAAGACGTCCAATTACAGTACATTGTTAAGAATCAAAGAACCAATTTTCCCAGATTATTTGCATGTAAAACTCAAAGTGTAATAATTTAAGAATATTAATAATATGAGGTTTAGTGGGGAAAAACAACACAAATTAAGTTTACTATGCTATATTCTAATATACTATGTTGCAGAATTTCACTTTTTATAAACACTTCACTTACCCTGGAACACTTTGATATCACTGCATTCAAATGTCACATTTAAAAGCATATAATTTCCTACCCAGACAGATAAAATCTAGAATTATCAATATCTTTAGTTCATTACTTTAAATCTGTCAACTTCAGTAATTTTAGCCAATTCTTATCAGTTATTAATGAACAAAGATTAGTAGATTTTTTAAAATTAAAAGTTGATTTTTGTATTGCACCGTTTTAATTACATATAACATGGGGGTAATTAACTCTTGATTTTTAAAACTTAAAGCTGCCCCTGGGGTTAGGTTGAACTGTATCAAGACATGAATATTAATGTAGGAAAGGTGTATATGACTTTCCCCAATTCTGTTTTATTGATTCAAATTGATCTTCCTGATGTTGCTATAAGATCCACCATAAAACAGAATAATACAAAAATAATATACCATAATATAGAAATTGGGATTTTTGCCATAATAAAAATAATAGGTTTTTGTGTTTTGTATGTATGTGAGAACACTCAAGAAACCAATAAACAGCCTTTAAGAAGTATGTTATCTTGACACAATTGACACAATTCAATGCTATCCACTTACTCCAGCTGGTTCCCTGAGTTTGGTTTTAAACTAGGATGCCCAGTTAGTCAGAAATGTAAGAGCTAATCTGTAGTTTCGTTCAACTTTTGCCCTGAAAATCATATTTATAAAAAAACAATTAAAAACAAAAATATTCTGTGAAATATTGGATTTATGTAAATTTAAAACTTTTTAAAAAGAGAAGATACACAAAATTCATTTGTAAAGCTCTACTGAAATTAGACAAAACCACATTTTAAAACATCAGCATGAAGAACCTAACCTCAGTTGTGACAGTTTACTTCTATTGTAATTTCAAATACCCCACCTAAAATAAATTGCCATCTACTTAAAGGGCAAACAGGAAAAAAGGCCTTACCTTTTTCACTAACACTTTCACTTTCAATTTCTACATCATCACAGCTTGTATATTCTGGTGTAGAAGCCAACTCTTCTTCAGAGCTGCTCAATGACACCTGACGCATTTTACCTCCTTTTTTTGTTTTATGAGGCTTTGGTGGTGGAGGCCTAATTGATTCAGACTGATCTGAACTCAAGGAATCATTTCTTAACATGGTTTCCATTTTTTCACGTTTTGTCTTCCGTACAGCTGAGCTTGGGTCTAAATGATGCTGTTTTCTTAATGGATCAGTTCTCCTCATATCTGGTCTATCAAAAGGTATTGGACTCCTCCTAGGTGTTGGAGGACTGTGATTTACGGTTCTCTGCCGATTGGGACTTAGTCCCTGAGTTCTTTCCATTGAATATGAACGCTGGTCCATGGCAGCTCTGCGTTCAGATGCAGATCTTTGCCTTGATGGTCGGTCCATTCTCATCATCGAAATCCGGGAATCTTCCAATTCAGTATTTGCCAAAGATACATCACTGTGCCTTCTTTCATGACGTGCACGTGAGACTTCAGCATGAATGCGCATTTGCTCTTCATATGGTTGTGGTTTGACAGGATAACGAGCCAAATTAGGATCACTTCGGTAGCGTGCTTGATATTCTTCTTCCCTTCGCTGCCTTTCATATTCCCCTCTATTTTGCATGTCATCTTCCTCTAAAGGATATTCCCTTGAACGTCTGCGATTTCTCCTACTAGAATTCCTATAGTCATCAATTTCAGGTTCTTCATATGGTTGCAACCCATGTTGTGAATGTCTGTCTGTATAATCTGATGGTGATCTTGGCATTGCAGCATCTGATGTTGCATACTGTGAATAGTCGTCTCTCTCCTCCAGCTGATTGAAACTTCTGTTCTGATCCCTGGGTATTGATGGGCTTCTTTTTCTAAGCAGTTAAAAAGAAAAGAAAAATTACTAAAAATGTATATATTACAAATTAATTCAGAAATTATTTATTACAAATGACTGAGCTACAATAATTTGTTGCTTTCTTTACATAACCTAACTATTTATAACAACTCTAATAGATTAATGTAATTTTAAGTTCTACTAAGTCAAATACTTAAGGACTGTGTATGCCAGCTTTATACAATTTTGCAATACTTGTTATAAAATATAGAATTCAAAGTATAGACAGCAGAGATTCAAATGCCATTATTTACATCCACAATGAATAGAAATAATGTGCATTGTTATACATATATGTTAACCTATATAGAATGCTGCATAAGTTAAGCAGTCTTTCCTCCACATAATTTGCCTTTATCAAATTGTATCTTTCCCAAGTATAATTTTTAATGCATTTGCACGCAACATAAAATTATCTTCTAACTTGCTATATTAATGTTACTAACTCTCGGTAGTAGACTCAACCTCTTACCTTCTATGTCTTAAAGGACCTCTGTACAAAGTTTACCAAGATAATGACCACGAAAACATTTTCACATTCTAAATATTTACTAATATAGTACCAACAAAAATACCTCAGATTAATACCAGATGCAATAAAATAACACAAAGAAAATTGAATAAATACAAACAGGTTTTGAAAAATCCAACTATCGGTATACTTAATTACTGTTTTTTACTCATTTTGTGAAAGAAAAAAAGAATTCAAAGCATAAATCTGCTAACTAATATAAATGTCAAGTATTTTCACATTACCTGTCAAAAAAATAAACTGGAACTAAGAAGCTGATGTGCATGAAATTAATGATAATGACCAACCACAAAAGCATGAAAACTTTAGTCCTTAAAACGTACTACATTTAAATCTAATTAAAATCACACTGGAACTATACAGTGATCTCTATTAAATGTAATCCATCTCATTAATCTCTTGAAATTTTTGTAAACTATATTTTACAAAAATATGATATTATTATTATTTACATCATGTCAGCCTGTTTTCAAAATGCAACCTAGGATAATAAGGTACTTTGTTTCAAAGAAAAAAATATTACAAGGATCTCATCTAAATTATCAACTTCTCATTATATAAAAAGATTTTGTAATGGAATATACTAATTGATAAAATGAGCTCAGAAAAGGGAATTGAATACCAACTTAGCTACATTTCAAACAGACGCACTGAAATTTCAGATATCATTTGTAATATCATAAGACTTATACTCTAAGCATATAAGTTTGAATCCATTTTAATTGTTTCTTAGAAAATAGAGTATTCTACTAGGTATCCTTTTCTTAGCATTTTATTAAGTACAATAGAAGGAAAGCAAATCATATTTTAAGTACAGTATGCTGTTTCTATTAGCCAAATATCAATTGTATTTCAAAATTCCGACTGTAAGGTCGATAACAAACAGGTCACAGCAACACTCTTTAAAATCATGAATTCAGAGAATATACTTGCTAAAATATAAAAAAGTTAGGCTTACATTTCTTTTTAACATATTGCTTCCTTCAAAATTCTTCTCTGATTATACAAGACTTTATTAGTTTCATAGTAATATACAAAGGTCTTTCTTTACCTGTTGTTCAGCCACTGCACATCTGGGAAATCAGGAGTATCAATTTCTGGGCATCCTATAGCTTCACTAAATCCTGAGAGATTTGAGGATACCATATACAATTTCATTTGTTTTAGAAGCCCAAAATAGTCTTTTCATATAGGTTCCCCACCTTAAATACAAATTAATGAATATTTGAAGAAAACAGGTATTTAAAATAGCTAGTCTCTAATCTGAATTGTGATCTAGAAGAAAAGTTACAAAGAACATGAGGTAAGAGCTACAGTTTAATACTGTTGTGATGTGCTGTATATAGCTGGAGGTCAAGTAAGTATTACCCGATAAGGAGGATTATAGTACTTAGTTGATTAATGATTTGTTACAGTATTGTTTTCTGCAAAATGCACATCACCAGACATTTTTGAACTATTTAAAGCATGTTTTTTATTTTTATTTTTTTAAACTACATTATTTATTAAAAGAATAAAGGAAAAATACCATTCCGAGTTTAAAAGTTTATATTCTTTTAAACATGTACTTGTAAAAAATATCTTAAGTATAATGTTACTGGAAAATGAAAACATCAGCAGTTTCCATGAAAATGTTTTCAAAATCCCTAAAATTGATTTATCTGAACTTAAACTCCTAGATTTCCCTGATGGTTGGGTGACCGTTCTAGTTCCCAGAATCATCTGTCTCACATAACATCTTTCCAGCTGATTCAATCCTGCAGAGTTGGTGTACTCTGGGTTTTTTTTATGAGACATCAGTTCTCAAGAGCCCAGAAGCACACCTTTTCTGCAACAGCACCTGCTATCTGGAACAAGATTCAGATGGACCCCACTCTGCTTTTGTTTAGCATAAAAACCTGGCTCCTAGCCCAAGTCTTTGGCGAGGGAGAGTGATATTGCTAATTTCATTGCACTTGCTGTCTTTTATTTTTTATATTATATTGATTTTACTGTAATTTTTTTGATTGTTCTGAACCATCAAGAATCAGTGAGGTTCTTTCAAAAGCTGTCATACAAATTTAATAAATTATTATCTGTTCACAACAATGTGAAGTCACAGTTGATGTTAGTCTCAAGTTCGTCCCAAGAACCTAGGATGTCATAATGTCATACTGTAGTATTTACAGTATATGTATCCAAGCATTATGGCATTTTGCAATTGACTAATGGAAATTTTGTCAATGTGCAAATTTTCTAAGATTATATCAAGATTTTTTTGTATGGGACTCAATAGCCTAAACCAACTGGGAACACCACAGTCAGTTTCTTTTTATTATACGTTTTTTTAAACTTTTATTCCAAATAATGCTAAATATTTATTTATCCGTATTTACTAACCTGAAAAATGTACTTGAAAATTAATTTGAGAGATTTCTGACGGAACATGAAATTCTTTTGACTAAAATGTATGAAACAAAATTAAAATTGCTCATCCAATTCAAGTTTACCTAGGCTCACATACTAAATTCTATCTAGCAGTTTCCACCAACATATTCCTATTGAATATCTTAGAAAAAAATATGTTCCATAAGAGCAGTTCAGCAGTAGAACTAATTACTATACTCCCAGAGATAGTCAACTTTCTTTTATTGGATGTGTTCAAGCAGATTTAATTTGAATTCCTAACTGAGCAGACATTCACTTGGTTTAATTACCTGTTCTGTTATTTCATATTCTAATGATTATCCCCAAACTAATTCTCTAAAATATTTAAGAAAACTTCTCATTTTCATTCTTGGACTTATTATGACATTGTTTAAATGATACGCCAAATGGTTTATCATAATGGCCCAATTTAGGCTATGGGTCAAATAATGAATAAAATCTTAAAACCAGATGTGGCCCAATTTTCTTTTGTTGACTTCTGCTGTACAAAATAAGGTCTTGTTTTGTTCTGTGTTAGGAAAGTTATCCTGCTGACAGACTGTAATAGTTCAAACCTGCTCTCTACTCCTTTTTATTTTTTTCCAGACCAATGGACCTTCAGAAAGAAATTATGTAAATGGATTTGGGGCTCTGTCCATCTGTCTTTCTGTCAGCAGAATTTGGTGTGACAGCAAAAGCTAACAACAACAAAATAATAATCAAGTTAGAAAATGGCTTGAATCTAGTTGGCAACTGCAGGGAAAAGAAATCAGGAAAAAAACCCAATGTGTCCTAGATTTTATCTTATCATATTTATTCTTGGTTTTGATTATTTAGAATAACATAAAATAAAATCAGCATGACTACAACAAACCTACAAAAGAATACTAGGCTTTCAACCAGACAACAGTTCCTACGAATGGATTCTGATCTGGAAAGTTATATTAAGAATCAGAGAACTACCATATTAATAATTGGATTGATACTGATATCTGAACATGTATATGTATTAGTAAAATTAAATAAAGCTCTGTTTAAGTTATTATATTGAGACAACTTATACCAAGTTCCAAAATAAACTAGAAAGATATATGGAATCAATATTACTTCAAAATTATCTGGACTAATTTGAATGCAGTGTACTTTGTATTAATGTAGGTTGTTTGCAAACATTAAAACAATGTTTATACAACTCCTGATCAATCATTTGAGTAGAATATACCAAAGTAATTTCCATTATTTTAAAGTATTTATTCATACAGTGTTATTCTAATTTATCTATATAATATATTACTTCAACAACTTACTTTTATCATACTTCTACAATTGAAGTTTTACTCTATCAGATCTGTCAAATTTCTGTTTTCACCCATCTTGGCTTATATCTGAGTTTTACCACTTGACTATTATCCAATACAATTATTCACTATGTCTTTGGATTATCTCTGAGTTTCTTCATCTCCCCTGCCTGACTTTTGTCCTGGCTTGAGAGTACCGCTATATATTTCAATGACTCCAATCTCACTTCTTTGCCATAGATCTGCAAGTGGTTGAATCTGCTCTAAACATGTCTGATCCATTAGTACAATCTGCAATATTATAATCAGATTTGATTATTTATGAGTAAAAGAAAGATAGATTTGGAATCAATTCTGTTCATACTTCTACTACATATTTTTGCCATTAGTACAGGGGCACTGAAAAAATGGATGTGCAACTGACCTTTGAATTTTGGCCATCACTGCACCCCTGTGGATACATGATCACAATCCAGGCACTTGAATGCCAAGTTCAAGATTACAACTTTGCAGGGAATTGTAATCATGTGATTGCCATTTGCAACCTCCTCCACTGGCTTCAATGAAAAAGCCAACAGGGAAAGTCACAAGTTACTCCTGTATGTTCCCCCGGTTTTCCCAGGCTTGCATTGTGCTCTCCCTCCCTTGGCTTTCCTGCACTTCTGCTGCACTGTACCTTCCACCCCATAGTCTACTTTCGCTCACACTGTACTGCACCCTAGACACCACAACCTTCCTGCA